TCCATTATTTTGTAATCCCAAACATCCATTATATCCACAATAATTACTCCAACATCACAATAATTATCTCAACATCCATTACTCCCGTAATCCCAAACTTATTACACTTTTTAGACTATCTCAGATTCACCAGAGGACATGTTCTCAGAAGACATATTTGATGCCTATGTAATAGAATTTGATCAACTTATTATGGGTTTCGATTTGATAAGAATTCGTGAATTATGGCATGTTTCTTTTATTGATAGGAAGAGTAAACATTTTGTGATATTGTATGACAATGCTGCACATTTTTGTATATGCTTAACATTGATTAACTGGGGCCTCGTATGTCGTCATTTTTTTGCAATTATGCTTATTTCGCCAATTGCAAAATTTCATATTCAACTTGTTCCACAATGCTGGTATATAAATTCATCGGTCATGGAGAAAGATCCAAGTTTTCATCACGATTTAACGGTTTCAGCAATTTTAGGTCAGGAATTTGACACAGTAGAAGTCTTTGATGTCAACTTTTTACACTTAGATATCATCCGGAATAATTATGTTTTTACAAAAGAAGTTTGTGAAGAGTTGTCTCAAAAGTAACAATATGGAAGAGGATTTGATATTATGAAGAAAATTCTGAATCTAGCTATTGCAACGGGTAAAGTGGAGGAGCTTTACGAAGTTCACTCGAATTTGATTAAGGATATAGAAGCTGAAATCATCGGTCAAGCTAAGAATGGTGATATTACTAAGTTTGCTTCTACCATCAACAATCCTTTTGTTACTAGAAAAAAAGGCCGGAAGTTCAAAAATTCTAATTTAATCGTAAATCATAAGAGCAAAAAAAAATGATGTTTGATGATGGTGACAAAGAGAACAGCTGGAAGCCGCAAGATTTCAATTGTATAAATGCAGATTAGGAAGGTAAAAAAAGAACAGATCAGAATGACAACAATGACACAGATTGAATTGAGACATCCGAACTTGATCAGGATGACAACAATGAAAGTCCTGCAGAATTGCTACATAAAAAGCTTCAGAAAATATTGCACGATGTTACAAATGATTTGTCAAATAAGAGGACGTGTGGCGTTTGCAATGAGAAAGGTCATAATGCCTGAACATGTTTGCAAAAGAAGACAGAGGAGACCATCACCACTAGTTAACTTTAGGATTAGTAGGCAAGGAAGTAAAAGGAGTATATTTATAATGACAATTCATTTTTTGAGATATAAAATTTCTAAATTTGTTATTTTTTCTAAAAAAAGGAACTGACAAAAACAAAGATTTATATACTAAACAAGTTACAATATATCAACATTTATGATGTATATAATATGTACGATGTAATGATATAATGATAGATATATATTATATTAATGATGTAATGTAACGCATATTTTATTAATAAAAATTTATAAACATATGCCTTATTTTATTGGCTAAAATAAACTATATATTTTATTATAAATTATATGTTTTATTTATTGGTTGAAAAATAAAACATGTGACTTATTTATCACTGGTGTTAAACATCACTGGTATGATTTAACAATGTTGAATTTAATTAAGGTAGTTACAAAAAAATATAGAAAAAAAAGGATGTTAGTAGTATATTTTAACAAAGAAAAAAGAGATACTGTACAAAAAATAAATGTTAAGATGATACAAAAAGGTCCACTTGTATATATAATTTTCTCCATTACTATTTTATTTTATTATTTTATTATTATATTATTTTATTCTTAAAATTTATTATATTATATTTATTGTAGGACATATTATATAAATCAATAATATAGATTATAGTAGTTAATTTAGTAATCAACTAATTGACCAACTGATTGTTTAAGTTAATGGCCAACTGATTGACATAATTACTAGCAAAAATATTGACCTAGTTACTAATTAAGTCTTTAATCAAGTTCAATATTATAAAAAGATAAATTTTCCTTTTATCCTAAAATAAATTTTAATAGATTTAAAATTGTAATTTAGATGAAAATCTCACTGTATTGAATTTGTATTTAATTCAAATATTGAATTAATATTTTTGACAATCCTAATTGATAGAATTATTAATTTATTTTATAATAAACATATATCTTTTTACTTAAACTTTGTTATTTTCTTAATAATTTATCATTAGAAAATTTTTTTAAATATTAATCAACATTAGTTAATAATGCATTGGTTAATGTTGATCAAAATTTATATTACTAATCAATGAAATGTTGATCAATATTTTTATTAATAAATTTTTTGCAAATAATAATAAATAGTATATTAACCAATACTAGTTAATATAAACAATTATTAATAATAATATTAATCAACACTAGTTAATGCAAATGATTATTAATAATATTAATGTTATTATTAATAATTGTTTGTATTAACTAATGTTGATTAATGTCATTGTTAATAATTGTTTGTATTAATTAGCATTAATTAACATATCATTTATTATCATTTGTGAAAAATTTATTAATAAAAAATATATGTCAACATTCTGTTAGTTAGTAATATAAATGTTGATCAATGTTAATTAACATACTGTTAACTAACATTAATTAACATTTAAAAAATTTTCTGATAATATTTTTCAAATATAGATTATTAATAAATTTTTATTAATACCTTATAATTTTTTAATAAATATTCTCAACTCTTAGTTTTAATTTCTTAAATTACTTATTTGAATTTAATAGTTACTTTTAATATAATTAATAATTATTTATACAAATCTTAAGTTTTTTATTATTAGTTTTATAGTTAAATTATTTCTTGTTTTTTTAATTTTAGTTAAGTTTATACTTACAATTCATTAATATATTTCTTCTTGTTTACAAGTTACTAATTATAACTTACCTTTTAATTCAAAAGGTTGACTAATAACAATATTAAATTGTAAAACATTTCAATTGAAATATAATTCTGAAACTAGAAATAGAATTAATTAACTTATTTAGATCTATTGAAAAAATAAATATGAAAGTTAATGACATGTGAAAATTGGCTATAGTTATTTTTAAAGAAAAAGAAAATATAACAAAAGTTCTTAAAAAATGAAATATTATAATTGACAATGACTCATTCAAGATTATACAAATTAACTAAATATCTGATTATTTGAAATCATATACAATTCGCATTATTAATTTGTCTGTAAAAATTACAATATACAAACTTCTATTATACATAAAAAATTTTGAAATCAAAATTTGTTATTTTTTAAAATTAAGAAATTATAGAAAGAGAAAGAGTAATAGATAAGTGAACTTTTTAGGTATACAGACGGTGTATTTTTGTTAATTCTAATTGGTTTCTATAGATTTTCTATCTTTTATCATGATTTTGATAACTTTTTTAAATCATATAAGTGATGTATTTTTTATATATATTATCACAAATAATATATTTTTTTGATATCTTATTTGATTACTATTCAGCTTTCTATTACTGTGAGCACATACCTTTAGATATATACGAAACAGTTGCAGAGTGTAGTGGAGCTTAGTTATCTTATTTGATAACTAATTAATATTCTATAACTATAAGTATGAATCTTTTTGATGAATACGAAGCAGTTGCAAAGTGTAATAAAGCATAGTTATCTTTTTTAATATTCTATAAGTTTTCTATAGTAAAAAAAGATAGTAAAATATGAACTTTAACACTAGCTCCGCTATTGAAAATTTTAGATATACGAGCAGTGTATTTTTAATTAAAGTTAGTCTGTTTCTATAGATTTTTAACTTTTTATTATATTCTCAATAACTTTCATATAAGGATACATAAATCAATTTTTTTTTAATCAAAAATATATCAATTTAACAAAAATATATGTCCTCTTATTTGATTACTAATTGTTTTGATTTACGGAGGAGCATAGCAACTTTAGATATAAAGCGTAACAAAGTATAGTTATTATATTTGATTGCTAATTAGCATTCTATTATTGTGAGCATAAACTATTTGATGAATGCAAAGTAGTTGTAAAACGTAACGGAGCATAGTTATCTATTTAGTTAGTATTTAACTTTTTATTAATAATATAGATAGTAAAATATAAATCTTATTATTAACTTTATTATAGATAAATTTAGATATACGCTTGGTGTATTTTTTTTCTATTAATAAAACAGATAAAAAAAATAGGTATTCATCAGCTTCTAGCATAGATAAATTTTTTGAAACTACTATTTATTAATACTTTATAAGGTGATCTTTGAATATCTGAAGTTGTCGAATATAAAATTGTATAACATAATATCCTTTAAAATATTTTTTACAATGTCTATAGGCAGAAGCTATAGGTTTTTCACAATTATTACATAAAACATATTTTTTTGTTCTTCAATATTCATGACATCCTTCAGGACATCAACATTCACATCTGCAGATTTTTCCAAAGTTGTGTATATATTCACATGTATATTTTACCTTGCATATATATTTATCCTACATTTCGATAAATTTATATAACTGAATTAATTATTTTAATTTAAACAAAAGATTCGGTTATATTAATAAAAAATACCAAATACAAGGATACAAAATAATAGGTAAATGTTCAAGTTGTGAATTCACTCTGAGAACAGGTAAAACTCATGATTTGATTAAGTATATAGATTTAATACAATTTAGAGCTTGTCAGGCTTTCTTACAATTAACACAAGTGTAAAATATACTTTAAACAGAAAATACTACACCGGAGCAAAATCAAGTGTCACCAGAGTGTGATCTTATTTCGTTCGATGAAAACTCATTATTACAACATCTATCCTAACTGAGAAAGGCAAGTGTGTCAACAATTGACCTTTTAACTGGTAATATTACAAATTTAGAAACTAAGCCAGGTTCTAGTACCTAATCTTACAGAGAATAAAAAAAAATCAATTTTAATGATAGATGAATTAATAAAATAAATATCAAAATTGGAAATAAAAAATAATAAAAAAATTAGATTAAAATCAATTCCTAAAACTGATGAAGAATGATACGATTTAATGGAGTTAGATAAAGATAAAGATAAAAATAGTGAATTAAGTGATTCAGAATATGATATTGCTAAAAAAAAATTATATATTCATTTCAAAAAAATTAAGGATCCATATATTAATAGAATAGTAGAAGAAAAAAAATTTAATAAAGGTGAGGTATGTGATTACTATGTATTTATACCAAAAGGTTATTATGCGAAAAACGAACCATTAGATTTTTTTTGAATCAATCAAAGAAAAAATTGCTGATGTATATAAAAAAAAATTAATTTTAAAAGGAGGATTAAAGGTAAAAATTGTATTAATAACATATATGAAGAAAATTATATTAGAATCTCAAGAGCCAATATTCAAAACTTTTTCATTCAAACATGAAACAATAGAAATTATTAGAGAGGATCGAATTGGAGCTATTATAGAAAAGAGATATAACAAAATTATTAATCAGATAGAAGATGAAACATTACAAGAGTCAAGTTGGACATTTGTTTGAGTAGAAGAGGTATTTCTCGAGATAAGTGCTTTTAGACTATTACGAGGTAGTATCGATTTAGCTTTATCAAAAGCTTTAGATAAGTTATAACTAGGATTAATTAATTTACAAAATAGAGATGATAATGAATATTTTAAATAGTGTATAAGTACATATCTCACAAGAGAGGAAGTAATAAAAGCTAATAGAAAGCCATCCCATTTTCATGAAATCTGAAGGTTTAAACAAAATGTGAATATTGTTAATTTTAATAATATAAATTTTCCTGTTACATTACATGATATAGACAAATTTGAAGAAATTAATTCTAACTATACTATTAATATATTTAGGCCAGTTTATAGAAAAGTTTTTGAAAAAATAATAGTAGATATAGATCCATTATATATTTCAGAATGAAATTACCGGATCAAGCATATGATAGATTTATTATCTTTAACAGAAGGTGAGGAGAGTCTAAATAATCGAAAAAATACTAATGATATATCAGAAGGACTTAAAACACATTATGTCCTTATAACAGATTTTATACAATTGATATATAAATAGAACAATTATCATGATAAAAAATACTTCTACTAAAAATACTTACAATTTCCTTATAGTCAACTAGATTTATTACAAAAGCATATTCCAACATATCCAGGTTCTAATAAAATATCACAATGATTAATTCTTCTAGAAGAAGATAAGAATTATGTAAAATCAAAGTATATCAAAAATATGATGATGAAGCTTTATTTAATTTTTATAGATTTAGAAAGTGAAGAAATTGAAGTGGAGGAAAAAGATAAAGAAGGAAATACTATAAAAATAGTGGAACAAAAAGTAGTTTCATATGGATATACAATACATTGTTCAGATAGAACAATACAAAAGCCAGTAATTAATCAGAAATTAAAAAATATAATAAAAGATTTAATATATAATCTTTAAAAAGATTTAGAGCTCATTTTAGACAAGCCTTGTAATCTACTTCTATATGAAAAAATAACTCCTGAATTATGGTAAAAATATCAAAGAACAAGTAAGTGTTGAAACTGTGAAGATAAATTACATGAAGCTGGATATAATAAAATTCGTGTTTTCGATCCTGAAACTAAAAAATATTTAGATATTTCGCATAGGAAATATCATGGAAAAAAATTAATAATTCAAGATAAGTTAGATAATGAACAAAAGAAAGTACATGACGCATATAAAAAATGTATGTATTGTAAAATACAATTGCCAGATGAAGGAAAAAATAAGGTACTAGATCATAACTATACTATAGAGAAATTTTAAGAAGCATTGCATAATGAATGCAATCTGAAATTACGGATTGACCTAGAAACAATAAAAATTCCTATACTATTTTGTAATGGTAGGACTATAATTTTCATCATCTTATATAAGAAATAACTAAAGTTACAGATGAAAAAATAGTATCTATAATAAATAATTCTGAGCAATATATTATCTTCTCAGTTGGCCAACTTCAATTTATTGATAGTTTAAAATTTTCATTATCTGGTTTAGTTAAGATAGCAAAAAACTTACGTAATGAAAAAAAGGGTCAAACTAAAACACCAGAACAACTTGCCAAATACTTTCCTATTATGTCAAAATTTATCTCAGCTTATTTGCTATCTCTGCTAACATGCAAAGGAATATTTCCATATCAATGATTAAATAGCAAAAAGAAATTTAATGAGACTAAACTTTTGTCACATATAGATTTTAATAGTGACTTAAATAGATATAATTATTGTGAGCATAACTATAGAATAGAAAAATGTGAACATGAAGAAAGGATAGAGAAATGTAAGTATAAATGTCAAAAATGTAAATATAAAAAAAAACTAAGTAATTGTAATGAATATGAAGAAAACAAAGAATGTGAACATGAGAAAATTTATATCATATCTTAAAAAGATTATAACTTTGTTTAAACAGTTTGATGAAAAACAGATATAAAACTTTTGATGATTATCATGATATTTATTTAAAAACTGATGTACTAATTTTAGTTGATGTATTTGAGGTATTTCGAAAAGTGTCTTATTTAACATTTAAGTTAGATCTAACAAATTATTTAATCATATCAGATCTTGCATAAGATATATTTATGAAGGTAACAAATGTAAAATTAGAATTATTTAATAAGTATTAAGGAGATATATATGACTTTTTTACTGTAATAAAAAGAGGTAGAATGTCCTTAACTAGAACAAATATTCTGGAATTAGAAGGGTACGATAGAAAAAAAGTAAAAAAATAGCTGTTATATTTAGATGCTAATAATCTTTATGATTAGGTAATGTCTCAATATTAACCAACTGGAATATTTAAATAACTATCAACAAAACCTCTTGAGGCTACTTTCCCATTAGTACACAAAATTTTATCATTAAAAAAAAATTAAAATCGAGGATATTGTTTGGAGGTTAAATTATCGATTCCTAAAAAATTACATTTTAAATTTTGAGATTATCTAATGTGTCCAAAACGAATAAAGGTATTATATGATTGATATAATTCAAAACAAAAAAAATAAACAGGTGAACAATGTTCAGATGTAGAAAAACTTATATTAACTCTATATGATAAAGACTATTATCTTATTTATTATAAAAATCTACAGTAGTATATAAAAGAGGGGTATGTTCTGAAAAAAGTATATAGAGTTTTAGGTTTCGAACAATTTCTATGGATGGAACCCTATATAGCAATGAATACATAATGACGAACAAAAGCAAAAAATGCATTCGAAAGAGATTTCTGGAAGTTAATGAATAACTCTATATTCAGAAAAATTATGGAAGATGTTAGAAAACGAGTGAACATAGATTTAGTAAGACAGATAAGAGAAAAATGATAATTATGTAGATTAATATTAGATTTAACATTTGTTAGTCAGAAAATTTTCTATGAAACTAATCTAATAACAGTACATTGAAAACAAACCAATATAAAATTAAATAAGTCAGAATATGTTGATGCATGTATTCTTGATCTATCGAAATATTATATGTATAACTTTTGATATAGATATCTTAAAAAGATATATGGTGATAAAGTAAAACTTTTATATACTGATACAGATTTTCTAATAATAGAAATTAAGACAGAAAATATATATCAAAACATGATTAATAATTGTAATTTATTTGATTTTAGTGATTATCCAAAAAACCATTGAGTAGTAAAGAATCTTTCAGAAGATCAATGAATAATTAATGAAAAAGGTAAACATGTCTTAAAAAATACTAAAATTATAGATAAGTAGAAGGATGAGAATAAAGGAAATCGAGCTATTAGCTATATTAGAGTTTATGTGAAGTACTATAGTATTGTATGTAAAAATTTACAAAAAAATATGATAAAGGCTAAAGGTTTAAAAAAGTCTCTCATCAAAAAAGAGCTTACACATAAAATATTTGAGAATTGTATTTTAGAAAGAAAAGAGAATTAATCACAAACCACTTAATTTTTCCAAAGTTACAGATATCGAATGTATAGAATAAAGTAAACAAAAAGAAGTGTTAATCTATTAGATACAAAATTGTAGATAGCACAAAATATGGAAATAACATATTTATTTGGTAATTGTAAAATTCTGGAAGAATAAATACCTAACTAAATCATTCTACTTATTGTAATAAATATATTTATTTTTTATGATCAATAGTAAATAAATATAACAATTAAATAAAAAGTCTTATTTAATAAAATCCACACATTTAATATATACAATATATCTACTATCTCTATACAAAAAACTTCACTTGCTATACCTGAATTAATTGAAAAAATATTTGTCAATCTTGAATACGGGGATCTTTATTCTTGTCTTATTATAAATCATCAATGAAATCCAGAAGTATCTCAGGTTCTTTTTATTTGATTCCAAGATGATCTTAATTTTATAAAAGAATAATTAGAAAGTATCAAGATAGTAAGAAATCTATTGCATATAATAACTAATAATTTTACTTATTCGGAAATAATTTGAAGAGTTAAATGTAAACTTGTATATGAAATTATAGATATTTATAAGTCAGTTAATTAACAAATTGATAATTTAGTTATAGGTGTGCCTAAATTTAAAATACTAAATTCCAAATTTCAAATTCCAAATTTCAAATCTCAAATTACTAATTGTCAAAATTTCAAATTTTAAATTATGTCAAATCCCAAATCCCAAATATTATGAAAACTGAATTTTGATAGTTAAAACGTTAAAATAATTTAGGATTTAGGTAACATGTATAAATCTAGTAAAGCTATATATGCGTCTTACAAGATCTAGTGAGTTGCATAAAAAATTTTATAAACAATGGAAAATCTTTTATAAACAGATAAGACTATTTGAGAAAAGAAAATGGAAAGATTTACTATCAAATTTATCTATCATAATAGAAAATTCAGTTTAATATATTCTAACATAACATATTTCTATTATCCGATCAATACATAAACAACTTAATTTTTTCATATACAATTATCAAATATAATTTTTTATTTAATGAATTATATTTATTTTTTTTCAGCTAACTATATTAATTAAACAAAGGTAAAGATTTTTTTAACTATATATATTATTCAAAAATAGAAAGTAACAAAAAACGATTAACTAATACTAAACTACATAAAGATACTCCTGTTATGATCTATGAAATAAGATATCATATAAATTATATTTATTTCAAATTAAGAGTAGTTGAGTTTGAGTTAGAAGATAGAAAAACAAGATGTAAGTGTAGATTACTAGAATTTGAGTTTGATGCTAAATAGAATAAGTACTCTAAATTAAAGTATAGAAAAAGGAGTAATAAATATGATTATGATAATAATAATAGCAATATATCAGATTCAAATTGTTCTGATATTTTATCCAATGATATTTCAATAAAAAAGATACGTAAGTCTAAAGACCCTGGTTTTATCCATTCTAAACTTAAAAAGAAGTAAAATAAGAACAAGATATATTATTATACAAAGTACGTAAAAAATTT